CTATTCTCCGCGTTCAGACCCCTCTAGGTTCATTCTCCATCGTGTCACAAGCTCTTTTAGCCAAATGACAACTCAAGCTTGTATGTCTTTTAAAATGAAACAAAAGGCCCTCTGATATTACTGTCCTTAGGGAGCTGTGCTGCCAAGCCAAAGATGGTGCCTCTCTGGCGGCTGCAATCCACCAGGAGCTCTGAGGGAGAAGGATTCCGTCTCTTTCTGTGGGATTTACAGCCTCAGAAGCTCACTGGAGGATCAACTCTGCATCAGATCTGACTGAATGGTAATGAGTATTGTTCTGAAGGATGCGCAATAGTAAGACTTTACATACTTCTTAAATAACAATTCTTTAATACCTTCTATTATTTCACTGCCCATAAGTTCAACTCTGAATACCCAGACTATGCAAAATACATAAATATGTAAGAATGGCCATTATTAACCTCTTAAAATGGCTTTGTACAAAATATAGCATCCTGTGTGTTTTAACCCCTCAAAGTAATGAAATAGCTCTTTTTTTTTTTAGGTAATGAGACATTCTACAATAGGTTTTTCTAATGAAGAAGAAGAAGGAAGGAAGGAAGAAAAAAATTAGATCTTCCAAAATAGCTTGCCTCCGGAAACTCTATGAACTTGGAAAAACGAAGAAAAATACACAAGTGTTCAGAGCTTTCGTTCATAAGATCACCATGAGTTGCCTACAACTCGACAGCACTTAACAACAACAACAATAATTGAGATACCAAGCCCCACCGAGTGTTTGCTTTACATGTGGTTTTTGTATAGAAAGCTACAAACGACAGCACCTCAAATGTTTACTTATGGAATTGCTTTAACACTTGACACACTTAAAGTGAATCCGTAATACTGATAATATTTGCCTCTCTCTTCAAATGCTGCTTATGTAAATGAAAAGAAAGGTATCAAAATGTCCCAGGAGAAAATCTATTTGAAACAAAGGCCGGATGTCTGCTTCCACAAATGCTAAAGGCCTTGATTCTTAATGTTTCCACCATTTCTTAACAATATCTGAGAGACCAGAATCAATCTTCAATTGTTAAAGATACACACACACACACACGTTAGATGAGATGATTAAAATCAAACTTTAAAATGACAAATCTTTATTCTTTTAATCAAGGATATCATGATACTGTAACTACCTTATTATATTTTATTTGCTTCTTAAATTAATAGCAATGAGGATGCACACCAATGTGATACAAACTAATGCATCTCCAGCTTGTCAGTGGTGGGCTGCTATTGCTTTTCAAATTAGTTTTGTTAATGAGCAATAAGGACCTATTTCTAAATTTTTATGGAATGACTATGTGTTAATCTAATATAAAGGGTATACACATAATATGTCATAAAACCCCAATCTCTTTATGTGCTGTAGAATAATGCTGCTGCTGTTGTTGCATACCACCAAGACAGAAACTCCAGCAGGTTTTCAGAGGCAGTGAATAGCATGGGAGGAGAATGTCGATTTCTCTTGCAAGGAGCAGCCGGTGGCTTCCAACAGTGTACCTTTGGGTTGCCAGCACAACTCCTTTCCATTAGGCCACTAGAGCTCCTGGTTATCATAATAATTTTACTCAAACCTCAAACTCACTGCCTTCAAGTTGATTCTAACTCTTAGTGATTTTCCTTTACATTTCCAAGGTGGCAAAGATTAATGAAAGGAGACTGTCCATCCTTCTCCAATGAAGCTAGTCATAGACTTGAACTGCCTTAGACATTCAGCCATTGCTTAACAGTGAAACACCCTACAAACTACACCACCTTTGCATCATATAGTACACATTTTTCATTACTACAATGTTTGGGGGGGTTTAGTGCTCACAGAGAATGAAAAGTGATATTCTAGCAAAAGACACATGGAAAGCATTGGGTTTTGAATGATGGTTATGAAATTCTTTTAAAAAATGTATCAAAACAAAACTAAAGACGTAATTAAATGACAAGAGGAGTGGACAAGGATAAGCATCCATCTTGAATAATAGATATGCAAGACCAAACATCAAAAATAGATTTTTTTATTGCCTGGCCTGGGTACCCCTGCTATTTATAGGTTGGGCTGGGTGAGAAGATTGGCTCATTAATCTTTTAAAGAGAAGATGTCAAGTGCACTCTTCATCTACTTGATCGAGGGAGATCAGTAATGATGCGCTCCAGTAAACTACGTATCTGCTTCTCTTCAGCAAAGAGGCCATGGTAACAGATATCAACTGAAAGGAGTGCAAACTTGGAAACTTTCGGGATAAAATAAATGTATTTATTTTCAAATTGCACATTTAATATCTTAAAAAAAAAAAGCCAACCCACCCCAACAAAAGAAACTAATAAGTAATTAGGGAGCCTCTGGTGGTTTAGTGGTAAGGACTTGCCCTCTCAATTAAAAGGCATGTAGTTCGAGTCCACCAGCTGCTCTGCAGGAGAAGGATGGGCAATTTTCTCCTGTGAGATTTCCTGCCTCTGAAAACTCACTAGAGGGTCAGCTATGGTCCCAACTTGATGGTACACAACAACAAAAAGTAAATAAACAAGTAAAAAAGAATAAAAAACTTCCATTCACCTGGGTCTTCCACCTGAATACTGGGGGAAACTATCCTAATCCACACCACACAGAGAGGAAATAAGTGAAGCATATTGCAAAATCTCCTTCTCTGCATTGCTGATCATTTTCAAGTCACAATGTGCATGATTCAGTTGGCCTGAGGGCTAGTAAATAGCTGCGTGTCCATTTTATTCCAAAGCTGAAGACACTAAGTTTGCAGAACTTCTGCCAAACTTAGGACACCATTTTATGATCATCCTATAGAAATAATTCTATTTACGCCATTAATACAGAAATGGAATTTGAGATAGGTCATTGAGTTTTTCACAGGTCTCTAGAGCAAGAAGTGATTGATACAAATTTGCCAACTGACCCACATTTCGCTCTCTGCTCCCAAGCTTCTCAAATACACAAACTTATAAGTTAATAAAACTGTCACAAATAGTTGGGGTGGGGAGGTCCATTTGCACTGCAAAGGTATACTATACAACCAACGTACAGAGAAGAAACGGGAAACACACATTTTGATGTAGTCAGACATGACAGTCAGATAAAGGATGGCTATTTCTTTTTTTTAAATTTAGTTTGTTTATTTTTCATTTCAATGAACATCTACAGGGATTTTGGAATTTCATTCATTCATTCTTGCACCCTTCTCCCCGAACAAACCCCTCCCCCCTTCCCCCCCCTTTGAGGATGGCTATTTCTAATAATTATGAACTGTTTTCATTTTGCCACAGTACTAAACACACACACACACACACACACAACAACAACAACAACAACTCAACAACCTCAGAGTTCAATGACATGACATGGAGTCAGGACTGGCTCACCGCTGACCTTCCAGCGGGTTTTCAGAGGCTGTAAATCACATAGGAGGAGACTGTTCATCCTCCTCCTAGGGAGCAGCCCTGGATTCAAACAGCCCACTTCTGGGTTGGCAGCGAACTCTCTTTATAGCGCTCTTTATAGCAGCAATAAAGATGGGTACTCTTCTTGCGGCAGTATGTCAAACACTGAGAAGTCAAAGGTTTTGCTTATAAATTGCTGCTCTAGAAAATAGCACTGTTTGTGGAAGTGATTCGATTTCATCACTAGTATCTCCCCTTCTATCTGAACCCACATGAATGTATTCAACCTCTCCTGCAAGTGGAAGACTGGGAAGTCAAGATGTCTGCTGTTTTCCAGCAATCAAGTCAAATTACAAACATAAAGGCCACAATTATCCTACCCGAGGGCTTTCTCTTGAAAGGAATAGCTGGAATAATGCAGAAAACATTTCCTCTTTTCGTATTTTCTAGAACCATGTCAATGACAGAAACAGTGGCTATGCAAAGACCAGAAAGTTCTGGATCCCACAGGCTCAGTAAACTTCCTTCCCTTCTCCAGTCTGCACCACTTCCTTGTTCGTGCACAAACCTCTCAATTTGTTGCCAAACCTTGTCCCCACGCTCTTAAGAGCAGACAGAGCTTGTTCTAACTTCCAGTCATGTGGTCTTTGTCATTATATCACTGATGTGAGTTGGAAGCCAACTGCACATTACTTTCCCTTTTTGACTCCAACTCTACTTCTATACACACAATTTCTGTATTGAAATGTGCTATCTCCTGCTCATTATCTCATCATCTTATCCCCACTATATGTCTGGAAGAAAGATTAACACATTCTTGTTCCAGGAGCTAAAGGAAAAACCTGACAACTTTCAATATACCCAACAGCTATACCTTCAAAACTCCTGAAACTCTCTATGAGTAAGGTAATACTTTTATTATCAGTGACTTATTAAACAAAATACAACTTTACATCAAGCACATTATTTATTTAGTTGTCTCATTAATTTAACGTACACAACATAGTAACAGCCAACTGAAAACTAAGATACTTTTCCTTAAATTTCAACACCCATCTTTATAGCAGCTCCTGTTAGAATACCATTCCACTTAATCTCTCTACACCTGACTAAAATGTTAGGGTGTTTCCCCTACAACTTTCTTCAACAACTCTGGTGCTTTCTTGAAATATTCATAAAATAATTCATCAAGTCAGCTGATATACAACCTTATAAGGAATTTGCCCTAGGCATAACTGACATTGAAATGGAAACAGTAAAGGTTAATAAGAAAAATTTCTGCATTGATATTTTAATGCAAAAACTATGATACTCACCAACAAAGAATATTCAAATCATACTATAACATCAAATCAAAATGTAAGCTTTCAGATTTTAACTCATTCTAGTTCACAGTCATTAAAAACTCAATCCAGTTCTCCACATTTCCCTACAGCTTCTCACCTTTTAAATCCCACCCATTTAAAGCAGTAGTGCCATCATCTCCGCAAATAAGATATTCTCTGTTCATTCACAACCTCTCCAGAAAAGGCACACATGTAAATCCACTTCACATCATAAAAAGAGGATAAGAAATGAACACTGCTTACCAGAGCCTCTCTTGGTCACAACCTTCAAACTCTGCGTAAAAGTAGCATATAAGAGAATCAAGTGTGGAATCGGAGCTTTCATCTTCCAGCTCTTACAGGCTGTTCCCTATTAAAAAAAGACAAAAAAAACATGGATATTTATTAAAGATACAGACTTTAAAAACTTATTATTTATACTATCATTCACTTTTCTACAGTTATTCATATGTGCTGTTTCATTCATGTCCATTTTGTTTTATGCAATCATTTGTGACCATTGTTTTATATGATTAATGACTATTGATCTGCTACTCTTATCTCCCTATCTCCTCAAGTTCCCATTACACCCTGCCTGTTCCTTCACTTCCTGTTCCTCCACACCCTCCCCCAATTAATCTCTGC